CAATTGCACAATTCTAAATTTTTGTTTCCTTCTTTGCAGAATCCATTTGGAAAGTTTCAAGGGTGCCAACCAGGATGTGGTAATGACAGTTATCCAATGGTGACTGGGAGAAACTGGTGTGGTAAGACTACAATGATTTTAGGACTGAGTTATTGGTACTCAACATCACAATTTAGCTACCCTCTGAAGTCAATAATAGTTATCCACCCCTTGTTTGATCAAAAAAGTGAAATTTTGAACTGAAGTTTTATTTTACTAAAACTTAGTATTTCTGAACTACAGATTTTCCATTTTAACTCCAATAGCCATAATGTAGCCCTGTATTTTTCACAGAGAACCTGAGTGTACAGAATACAGCATAACATAAGCCGTACTGAGGTTATGAGTCGATATATATGCATAGTCATGAAATATGATTTCTGCAAAAGTTATAATTCTGAGTTATCAGCTAATCAAGGGAAAACCATATGAAGTGGTATATTATGGGTGGATTCGTTTTCACATAGATCTTGATAGTGTATCAATCATGTACTAGTGTTAGAAAGCTCCCCTTAATGATTTCTATGGTCATTCGTAAGTTATACTTTCTATAATAGTGGCTTTCATTCTCAAGAGTAAAACCATGTTCAACCAAGATTTATTTTTGAAAAAAAATTGTGATAGAAAGATATAAAAATTAAAAATGCCAAAATTTTGAACATTGATTAACTAGGTATATCTAGTTTTTTATGTTGTTGAGAAACTGGTCTTCCTGGTGGAAGAAGACCAACACAAGTATCTGTGTACATTTGACCGTCTGCCAATTAGACCACTTAGGGTTTCACATTGGATGTTAGAAAGAAGTCTTCCTTTCCACTACCAGAAGGGAGAATTCCCTAAAACTGTAGACAAGTGAGAAACTCGGAGAGAAAGTTCAGTTTATTTAAAGATTTTGAGGATCTAATTACTCACTTGTTTTCTTTGTAATTTAAATTTTTGCAATTTACATTATTCCAAGACAAGCTCATTCACTACAATGTGACTTACTTCCAATAAGTTGCTTAACTCAGCTGATTGATGCCATTTTACTGTCTTAAAGGTCCACTGATCATAAACCAAGACAAACCATCACCCTGCCTGAAAGATCTCCCAGAAGAGGCAATGAAAGCTCTTTGTGAGAAACTCGATATGCCCCTGAAGGGAGTTGGCAATTGGAGGCATGTTGCAACAAGCCTTGGATTCACTGAGGAAGAGATTCAGATTTTCCGAAATGAAATGTTGACTCCGGATGGAAGTCCTTGCACTGTTATGTTAGAAGCACTGATGGTGAAGTCACCTCAGTGTACTTTGACAGAATCTGTGCAAATTCTACAAGCAAGGAAAATTCAGCACTATGATGCTGTGGAGGTTCTTGAGCCCCATTTACACAGCTATAGAGAATAATCTTCACAACAATGAAGAGATTTTCTCATCACTTCACTTTTAGACAGACCTGTCGAACTTTCTGGCTTATCTATTGACAACACGGATTGACAACAAAAGTAAAAAAAATATATATATATATATATATAAAATAGAGGACTTCTTAAGAGCTCTAGCTTAATCAAACTAATTGTCTAAAAAATGAGCTTATGTGAAACTGTTCGAAAATGAACTAAATATTACTTTTTAAAATAATTCAAACAAGCCTCCTGTAAAAGCTTAAATTTCTGGAAAATTCATCATTTTCACAGTCAATATCAAGTATGCTAACTCTCCCATATTATTCGGTAGCCTCCATTAAAAAAAAATAATAAAAAAAAAAAACAGAAAACAAACAACGAAACAAAAAAAGAAGGCAAATCTCCTGGTCTCCATTACGGGTTAACAAATATCTCCCATTAAAGCGAACTCAGATCAGTTCCTTGCTGAAACCTAAAATTTTATCTCAAAGTTTCCAATAATTATCATCTGGTTTTGTGTTAAATCTTACTGCTCTTTTCTCCGTTGCATATTGCACGCACGCATCTTGCTTCTCCCTACGATCCAATTCTTTGCAAAATCCAGCATTAGCAAAAATCCAGATCTGGATTTCTCAATGGACTCGCTCAGACATCTCTGAAGATTCAAAACAAATACAACTTTAACAATAATTTCAACTTCCCTTATTGTTCCCAAAAACAATTCTTGGTTTGGGGCATGCAGGATTACCCGGCTAGAGTTAATTATTGGCATCTATGTCGTGGGAAACAAGCAGCAAAATTCTGTAAAACAATTTCAAGAACAAAGGAACGTAATTTAGAATAGAAAAGAACAGCACAAGCATATTTTTTTGAATATGCAACCACACGTCATAAAAGGTACTATCGAAAAAAAATGCTCACGTGATCTTAGACCAGCGGTCACGGATTTTGTGTCCATGACTAGTACACTTTGGCTCATACGTAATTGTAATGTATAGGGACATAACATTGCCCACCCTGCCTTTTTTCAAATAGTTCATTTTCTTATGTATCCCAGAGTCCTTTGGTTCAAAGGTAACTCTTTTCAATTTAAAAAATAAAGAAGTTAAAGAAAAAGACCTTAAGGAACAAGTGGGCCCAGAGTAAATTTAGCTCCTGAATGTCTAGATATGTCGCTACATAAAACCTGACCTACATAACTTATCTACGTGGATTCATGTAATTCTCTTATAATACCTTATTCTTCAAGATGTGCTTTTAGTCTTGAAGCACAAACAGAAGGATTACAGAAACAATAAGAAGTGATAACCGTACAAAATATTGGTAATCTTGCCTCTTGAGGCTATTTACGAGCTTTTTCGTTCATTACAGATTACGCAGTGGAATATTAGTTATCATATTTCTTATGGCTCCTTTCCAGTCTCATTGAGTCCAAAGTACAAAAAGTTGTATTAAATCGCTTTCGAGGACAAAGATTCGGCACAACTCAGAAACTACTGAAGCTTCACAATATCTTCTAGTACTAGTTGATTAACACGGATTTTTGGACGAAACATGCAAGAATTGCAATACCATTTTCCCCAAGGAATCACCGACAGTTGTCGTCAGTATCAGCGCCTGTCAGACAAGAGGGTCAGTTCTACTCTTCCATTATCTCGCTCGATCTCTGACCCTGTATTGAGAGACATTTTTTGTAGCAAACCATGAGTGTGCTGGTGAATAATGTGTGTAAACATTTGTGTGATTTATTCGTTTCATATTCCTTTAGTGAAAGCGCCTCGAGGAATCTGACGCGAAGTTGCAGAATGCCTGTCCATTCCGACGAAGGCGAAGAGAATTCATTGCCATTCAACGGTTTCATAAGAATCAATAATCACTCTCGCCGGGAATTTTCCCGCCAAATTCCTTATCGATCACAAGCAATTCCTATGACTGGCCCTGCGCCCTTGGATGACCTTGGGATCAAAACAAGACACGTTTTTTGACTGGACGGCCAAAGATAGACAAAGTCAAAGAACCAATCAAAGTGAGCATACTATAATGTAAACAAACTTTAGTACAACTATTCGTTTCATTGACGTATCTCGCTGTTACACCGCGGGGTTTGACGATTTAGATTTCTCTAAGACTATTTTCCCCTAGTTCTTCGAACTTTTGGATTGAGTTAAGAATCATCTGACAGAATAATGCAAGATGGATTTGTCACGAGCTTTACGCTTGATAACTTCTTCATAGCAATCACTTCGGTAGAGATCTCGAACTCATTGAAAAACCACGATGCACTTAAGGAAAGTGGTGAGAATTTCGTTGTATCTTTCATTATTCAAAAATAAGTTCTAATTCTTGCGGGAAATTTAGTTCGCAAATCTCAGAAAAACGTAGTACTCTTGATTCTAACGATGACTTCCTCGTTTTATTACATTACATTACGTTTCATTACAGTTTCATTAAGTTACTACGCAGTACCACAAAGACCACGGCAGATCGCTAAACGCAGCTTTATTTCGCCTTTTTACTTAAAGGTAAGAAAATTACTTAAGATGTAATGGTTATAAGTTGTCTTTCCGTCGTCAAACACTATCAAAACTCTTTCTGCGTGTGCCATTCTAACTACGTCAACGCAGGTTTCTAAAAGCTGTATTTTTGTCACCGAATGTTACAAAAATGTGCTGCATAATCATATCGATTAACAAAATACGTTTCTCAACCAGCTAACGGCTTGTTAAAATATAAGAATTCTGCATGATTGTGAATAAGTTTTCATTCTGAGGGAGTCGTGGTAAACTTTATCCCATTTCAATATAAGAGCATCTTTTTAGAAGACCTGCGACAAACATGGTTTTATCGATTACAGGTTTACGCCACAAATGTCATAACAGTTGATGTAGGTACAGTTCGATACCAAGGTTATGGTTACAATTTCTAGTTCAGCACTTTTCTGACAATGTCACGTTTATAAACACTATCTATTGCAGATAGTTACAAATGTCTCTGAGATCCTTTAAAGGAGTAAAGATCGTGTTGGATGTGGATTCTCAACCACGGTCCTTACAAGATGCACAGGTGGGAAGGATAAGCTCTTTGGCGACAACATCCGCATAAAATCCAATCTGGAAAAACAGATTTACGTTTTACTCTGCCCATATCTGTAAGCTGTCCTTACAAATGGTTCACTGTCTTAAAAAACCCTACATGTCAGTATCGAATTTCTCGTGAGCATATGTGTGTTTCAAGAGACAGAATTTGTTTCCGCTCACAAACATACGTGTTGGTTGCATGTATACATGTCTCTTTCTTTAGTTGTATTCAACCTGAAAGTACCATCAGGGAAATGATCAATCAGCATTACTGATTATCACTATTGCGATATCATAGTAATACTATTTAATATGTAACAAGTCATCCCAGGGATTCGGTACCCGTCCTGCAATTTAAATATTTCTAATTGGAGACTACACAATCATTAAATTTAATGCTTCTCTTTATTTCATTGAAGAGACTGTTTTAGATTTTATACTCCCACAAAGCATGGTTTCAGGTTCAGACTATATATTTTTTCAATCAAAAAAGCTATAGCAATTAATGTTTCATGTGTCTTATGATCTTTCCATCCATTTTATCCAATAATGTAAACTCTAATGTCTTGAAGTATAATGCTGATCGTTATGATATTATGCTGAAAGAATGATCAATAAATATTTATTTCGATGGTTCTGTATTGTTTTGGTTTAGTACTACAAAGCAAATACATCACCTTGACTCTATAATCCACAGCAGATGATTAGTTAATTACAGGATTTTATATGCATTTAAGGAAACTTCGATTTGTGTCTTGACTGAAATATTCCACCGAAATGTTTTGAAAGTCATGAAATACTAGATGTCTTTGAACAAAACCACTTGCTTTGTAAATGAAATATTGGCCATCATCCAAGAAAGTGCCCTGTAATCCCCATGATTTTGGAACTTACACAACTCTTAGAGCATTGAAAAGATTTTGCAGTGTATGACACTATCATGTGATGATTACCAATTGCTTTACAGTTCGTACAAAATGTCATTTAAGCTGTATGTAATATATTCGAAAGTATAACATTAAATAAACTACCATTAAACACACTAACAGTGATGGTTGGTCGCTCTCTGTTATGGCTCGCTCGAGCTCACCACGAGGTATTTCTTCGATGGTAAAAACGGCACAGGAAGCCCAACATATAACATCAACTCCCCCCTTAGCAAAGAAAATGTCAACAATTCAACAAGTTACTAAAAGTTCTGAAGTTCGTTATAAGTTCGATCGTTCTGGAGGCCTTATTGTCCTTTTTGGTCTGTCAGCTCTTCCTGGTGTAGTAGACACGGTGGGTTGGGATGCAGGTAACTCTCTTGGTTCAATAGGAGGACATTCACAGGGAGTACTGGTATCCCCAGTTGGAATCATGGTAGGGAGTACTGTTGTCGACACAGGAAAAGATACCTCTACTGTGGGGCTACCCCCAGTATTGCTGTCGCTATGGGAATTCCCAGCAGACAATAGGTGATCGACATGTACATGACACATTCGATCCCCAACCTTTATCTGATAGGCAAGTGGACCTAGGCGAAGGAGAACAGTTCCTCTATTCCACTTATTCTTCCCACGGAAATTTCTGACTAACACCTGATCCCCAGGTAGGAATTCTCTGGTCTTCTGGCGACCCTGGTCATGCTGTTCTTTCTCCATCCTTTGTTTTTCTTCAACATGTCGGGCCAGTTTAGGTTGTAGCAAGGAGAGTTCGGTGCGAGGTTAGCATCTCAAGAACAAGGTAGCAGGCGTCTGATCTGTTACAGTGTGAGGGGTGTTTCGGTAAGAGAAGAGGAAGCTAGCCAGGCGTGTTTGCAAAGATGCCCCCTTCTGGAGCTTGCTGGTCTTGAGGGCCTGTTTTAGGGTTTGCACATACCTCTCAGCTCCACCATTGGAGGCTGGATGATATGGTGGTATCCGGGTCTGAATAATACTATTTGACTGTATGAAGACTTTAAATTCATCAGAGGTAAACTGGGGGCGATTATCGGACACAATCTCTTCAGGGAACCATATGACGCAAACAGACCACTTAGCAGCTCAATAGTTTTTGCTGCAGTAGTTGACTGGGTCACATATACTTCAGGCCATTTTGAATGGGCATCCACAATAAGCAAGTAGTTGATTCCTTCATATTCTGCAAAGTCAATGTGTAACCTCTGCCAGACTCTAGTAGGCCATTTCCATGGAATAAGTGGGGCAGGAACAGCTCCCTTCTTTACTTCCTGACAGGCGCTGCAATTACGTTCAGTTTCTTCAATGGCAGTGTCCAGTTTGGGCCACCACAAGTAACTCCGAACTAGGGCTTTCATGCGGCAAATGCCGGAGTGATCTTCATGTAGACTGCTTAGCATGGCTGATTTGTACTCATCTGGGATGACAACCCTCATTCCCCATAGTAAACAATCTTGCTCTCGTGACAACTCATTCCTACGATAGAAGAATGGCAAAAGTTCTTCGGGTAGGCATGATTGATCAGGCCAGCCATTTTGTACAAACTGCACAACAGTGGAGAGGAGTTTATCCCCCTGAGTAGCACATGCAATGTCCCTACAGGTAATAGGAAGATCATTAATAGCATAGTTAAAATGATAAAGTTCACTTCCCTGACAGGCTGCCACATGATCAACCAGCAGCCGGGAAAGTGCATCAACATTAGCATGAGCATCAGTGCCTTGGTGCTTGATCTCATACTGATAAGATGACAAGATCAGGGCCCATCTTTGGAGTCTAGCAGCTACTAACGTTGGGACCGCAGATTTGGGTCCCATAATGGAAGAAGTGGTTTATGATCAGTCTCAAGTAAAAATTTTCTTCCGTACAGATATTGGTGGAATTTCTTGACCCCGTAGATGATGGCTAAAGCTTCTTTATCAATTTGACCATAATTCTTTTCGCTGGAAGACAAGGTCCTAGATGCAAAAGCTATGGGTCGTTCTTCTCCGTTTTCCATGATATGAGAAATAACCGCTCCAATGCCATATGATGAAGCATCACATGCCAAGACCAATGGTAATTTAACATCATAATGGGTCAAGACCTTAGCTGAGAGTAGTTGTTGCTTGGCATCATCAAATGCCTTTTGACAATCAGGACCCCATAACCAACTCACCCCTTCTCGTAGAAGGTTGTTTAGTGGCTGAAGCAAGGTAGATAGATTGGGAAGGAATTTCCCATAATATTGAAGCATGCCAAGGAAGGACTTCAGCTCAGAGATGCAAGTAGGAATAGGAGCTCCCATGATACCTTTGACTTTCTCAGGATTAGGATGTACTCCTTCTTTATCAGTTAGGTAACCCAAGAACTCCACTTGATTTTGCATAAAGGAGCATTTTTCAGCCTTTAGTTGAACACCGTACTTGGACAACCGTTGTAACACTGCTTCAAGAACCTTCAAGTGTTCCTCCTGAGCAGGTGCAGTTATCAGGATATCATCAATGTAACAGAATCCCTTGGAGTATTTGATCCATGGTAGACTGGAAGATAGCAGGTGCACTTGCAACTCCGAACGGTAGGCGATGGTAGTGAAATAATCCTTTGTGGGTGTTTCAAATCTAATTTAGTGAACTTTTCCCCGCCTGCTAGAGCACTTAAAAGTTCTTGAGGAGTCGGCAATGGATACTGGTCAACATCCCTGTCTTGATTGATGGTGACCTAATAGTCCCCGCAAATACGGATGGACCCATCTGGTTTGGGTACCACCACAATGGGTGCCGCCCACTCACAGTGGTCTGTCTTTGAAATTATGCCTTCTTTCTCCAACCGTTCAAGTTCAGCCTCAACAGCCCCCTCTAATGCATATGGGAGGGGCCGTGACTTAAAAAACTTTGGGGTTGCATCTGATTTAACCTTGACTCTTGCTTCGAATTATTGGATGCTGCCTCGATAGTTTGAAAACACCGAGTTATACCTGGTAGTTAGCTCCTCTATCGCAGTGGATACCTTGAATAGTTCCACCCAATTGAGGCGAATCACACTGAGCCAGTTTCGGCCTAACACCGGGGGTTGGTCAACAATCTCAGCTACAACGAGTGACCCTTGAACTCTACATTGACGTGCATTTCTCCCAGGGTAGGTAAAACTGCTCCAGAATATGTTTTGAGCTGGGCAGTACAAGGAGACAGACTTAAGTGTTTGTATGTTGCAAATAAACTGATTTGGGAACAACTGTGACGGCAGCCCCATTATCCACCTCCATGTTCACTTCTTTTCCTTCAATTATTATTGGAACAGTTACAGCATCTGTGATGCAGTCATGAACTGCAAACATACCCAATGGATCATCCTCAACCTCAGAAGCTTCAACATGGTTAGTTGCGTGGGATTCCTGTTCACCTTTAGTGCTTTTACTTTTGCAAACTTTAGACAAATGTCCAACTTTTCCACACCAGTTGCATTTATACTTCTTGAACTTGCAGACATTGGCCAGATGATCTGGTGATCCACAACGATAACAGATCCTTGCTTGATCCTTGGGTGTTTTCATATCAGTACGAGTTGATTTGTTAGCAGTTTGATGAATAGGAACCGCTGCTGATACTCCGGAGAGTCCGTGTGCCTTTGTACTAGTATCTGCAAACGGTCAGACTTTCTAGTCTTCTCGGATAGGGACGATAAATGGAGGCCCCGTCTCACAAACCCTTACATGTGATTTAAATTTGTGGGACGTTAAAGAACCCACGCACTCCTCGAAAAGAGTAGGGCACGTAGTGCCCGGTGTTGTGGTCTATCTTTGTGCAGTGTCTATCCAGGGTGAGTTGGGGGGAGGGGTGGTGCCTCGCATGGACCTTCTGTTTCGTTCGCACTAACCCTTCCGGGTCTAGTCACACCCGTTAAAGTCGTTAAAACAAAACAAACAAACAAAACAATTCCGCCGATTGCCGTTCCTCCATTTCCATCGATTGGGCAATTTGTAATGCTTCGTTGAAATTAAGGACTTTTTCACAAAGAAGCTTTCGTTGGATATTTTCCTTTCTAAGTCCAGCAACAAAACGATCTAGTAAGGCATCGTCAAAGGAATCACCAAACTCGCAGTGAATGGTTAATTTCTTTAGCTGAGTTGCAAAATCCGCCACACTTTCGTCATCTTTCCGAAACCGATTGTGGAAGTTGAATCGCTCGGCGATTACGGTAGGTTTGGGGTTTAAGTGATTCCTCAGAAGAGCAACTAGTTCGGCATATTCCATGGTATTACGTTTTTCCGGCATTACCAGGTTTCTCAACAACCCTTAGGTTTCTACTCCAATCGCAGTCAGCAGAACTGCGACTTGTTGCTCCTTCTTTACTTGGTTCGCCACCATATAATTCTCGAGGCGTTCCACATACGAATCGAAGCTTTCTTTTGCTTTATCGAACTCAGTTATATTTCCAGTAATACTCATGATCCCGTCCTTGTCGCGAGATGTAATATATTCGAAAGTATAACATTAAATAAACTACCATTAAACAGGAGTTTTTCCTTATATGGTAAAAAGGGCACAGGTAGCCCAACATATAACACTGTAAATATTGAAAATAA